GAATACACCAACTAAAGGAGTGCAGGGAAGCATGGGCTGGGCATAATTCGAGGTTAGAGAAGCGATCAGTAAGTTGAAATTTGAACAAAGGCTAGACGCAATATAAGATGCACGATGGGCGTGAACCCATCGTGTATAAGCACCTATTCTATAGATGCTTGTACACCTTTCTCGCCCATCGCGTATCTTCAATTGTGTTCAGACTTTTTTTATATACCATAGATTCTATAGTATATAAAAAGTCTGAACACTAAATGGACAAACCGAACTTGAAAATAATTCAAATACCACCAGTCAAGTGCTGGGGCAGATCAGACTACCTCTGTGGAAAAGAAAGTGAAAGAAGTCGAGGGAAAAATGTGGGAGGAAAGAGTGCAGGAAAGATAGCTTTAACTCCGTATAGGGGACAAAAACAGGAAATAAGGAAGGAACATTGGGTATGATAATCTACGGGGGAGCTCGTTGCAATTTGAGCCTAGAACAGGACTATTGAGGACTAGGGTGAGGAAATGGATACGCGGTGTTCCGTATGCCAAGGGGAAGAGCATGCAAGAGAACATGTGAGGTGTTGAGGTGCACAGGGCTTGCTCCCGCCCTCCCGGAGGGTGCGACGGATTTAGCCGGCACGCTGAGGCTTGCAGACGAGTATGGAAGAATGGACGATAAGTGCATTTCAATAACAAAGAAGAGATTGGAAGACTGGTGGAAGTTATCTAGGGGGAATTGAATGATGCACAACTAAGTAGCACAGCTGGGAACAGGCGGGACAAAGAAAAATGGGGGCTCCCTCCCATGTGGCTCCGGCCCAAAGTCTCAACCTGTCTCCCAGTGGGCCTAGTGCAGCGGTAACGCCGACTATAGGTGGGACCAGACGAAAATTGGCGACTCCTTCGCCGAAATAAAGAAGCGGGGGTGATTCTTTTTATTTATTCAAGTTTCCCCAATGGTCATGTTGGTGATATCACAGACCGCCTGGTGATAGTTACAGAAGTGCAGAGGGGAAGCAAATTGGCCTAAAGGGGCGAGGGGAGGAATCATAGTTCTGGGTTCTAGGCTAGGTGGCGCAAGCTACCGCCCGTTATAAAGGGTACAGCCGTTGGCATCAATCCATCCATGTATCGGGGGATGTGGGCTGGACGTAGAAGGGTATGCGCACTGATCTCTATGTCATTGAGATCAGTGGGTATGCGCTTGAGCTAGTTGGTGATCCATATTTTTGAGGGTAAAAGCGCTAAAAACAACGGACAAGTAAAAGAATAATGTTTTCCGAGAATAAACTTCAGTTGCAAGTAGCGCTCTGTGTTGTTCGTTTCTTTTACTTGTCCGTTGTTTTTAGCGCTTTTACCCTCGAAAATGTGGGCTGGACCATAGAGTTATTATAATGTACGCTAGAGGTTCAATGATGCCAGCGTGCTGTTGCAAATGGAAGCAGACAGCAACCAGTCGAAAGCTGACTTCCGGCAATCCATTTCTATGGGAAAAAGTGAGTGCTCTCTCCCTGCGCTTGATTATAAGAGCAAATATAACGACTAATTCGTACGTACAGTACTATAGGTAGCTTGGAACGTTTCTCAGCCACTCAGACGAAATAATTGGTCAGTTCCGGCGTTGTTCTTTCAAATTTGTGGCATTAAATACTGCGCTAAAACAGTTTCATACATGCATTTATGTGCACTGACGGACACTGTTAGCACGAACACGGCGTCGGCGCTCTTCTGCACCGGGGACATACGTGCCAAACGAACGAAAAACATTTGGAAAAGCAAGAGAGACGGCAAGAACTACGCAGAAGCACTGGATCATTAACCCTTGTGCATGCAGACGACCAAAATTAATTGAAAGTCACGTGATATAGTCGGATTTGCAATAAATAAGTACTGCCTTATTCTTTCTGCTCATGCATGTGTGCGAGGATACTTGTTCTGTGTTCAAAACATCACCCGAACGCTCGAAATATTTTAAAATAGGAAGCCAGACAACAGGCGCCCGATCATAGTTCACGTATTTCATTCTTTAAGTTTTGAATGCTTTTAACCGCTCGTAAAGATGCATGACGGGGGCATTTTCCTATATGTGACAGGACGGGCATATTGGCAATACATAAGCGCCACCAGAACGCTGGCGACCCTTGAACACACTCTACATTCCTTTCAATCGTTAGTCTGCTTAGAATCGTCGCTAGTTTTTACAACATGGAACAGAGGCGATAAGCCTTAAATATAGGAAAGTTTAACACCATTCACTGGTAAACAAAAATGCTGCAACTAAAGCAATTACTTTTTTTTTTTTTTTTTAAATAATAAAGGTATATACTACTCGGTTCGACGGAAATAACAGAATTGATCCAGATTATTTTCCGGCGAAGAGACAAAACGCACGCGCGTTTTCCCATAGGAATGCACAGGAGCACCGCTAAAGCAGACTCGTTGCTGTCTGCTTCAATATACGTGCTCTAGCGTATACATTATTACAACTCTAGCGGCTGGATATAATTTGAAGGGAGAAAGGCAGTGAGGGCTATCGGTAAATTGAGCTTAGACCTAAGGTTTCCCGAGGAGGAGTATATATGATGAGGTCGTGTCATCCTAACGACAGCATCATCCAAATGGCAAGATAATCCAAATGACAGGATCACAATGAAAATACTATAATGAGGGGAGCCTATAGCTTTCCTCGGAGCAAACTGACGCGTCGGAACTCGAAGCGGAGTCCCGCTCGCGCACTACACGAGAGCGCGCGGTCCCCCCTTTCAGCACGGCAGAGTCGTCACGTACAGAACGGACCGCGGATACAGGATACAGGACCGGTTCCCTTACCGAGCATGAGCAGGAACGGTGGCGAGCCGACGGTCACCCACACCTGGACCGCGACGCGGGCTAGGACCGCGGTCCGCGTGCCCAGAACCGAGTCGACCCGGGCGCACGTCCACAAGACGTAGCGCACACTGAGGCGCACCAGTAGTCGGACCAGGAACCTCGTCAGACTGAACATAAGCCTATCTTGGACCAGGCTGGTCCGCGTCAACTACCCCACCACACTAGGCCCCAAAAGAGACTATAGGAAAATGATGCCTGAACCCATGAGGCGCCCGCTCCTTTGCTTCTCGACCAGCGACGCCATCTGTGACGTCGACTGGCGTGACGATGCAAGTTCTTTTCGACGGGGGAAGAACAACATGGCGGCGGCGTGGTGTAGCACACGTCGTGAAACTCGTCGTTTTTCTTAAAATACGCTTCGTCGGGAGAGTGAGTGGAGTGGTCCGCAGCAGCCACTGATACACTCCGTTTTGTTTTCAGATTAGTCCGACCAAACAGCGCTAAAACTGCGCCGTCATGGCGCTCGTTCGTCGTTTGTCTGCTGTCCCCGACTAAAGTAATCAGGCGCAGAAAAAGAATGCGCAGGATGACGCCGCATTAGCTGGGCGTGATTGGTTGTGATAGTAAACGCGCCGTGACGACGCACTTTCCGTCGAATCGGATCGTGCTGCGAACTGAGCAGATGATCTCTTACAAGTACGACGAAGCACACTCCGACGAGGGGCCATGCCCTCCTAAATATTGCCACCTCAATTGGATTCCGCTCTCGAAGCACGGAGTGTGTACACCCATTTGTAAACGGCATTCACCCCCCCTGATCTCTATTGGCTGGATCGCGGATCGGGAGCCCGTCAATGTGGCACCACCGGCAACCACCGCTTGACTGCAGGCAATGCACGCGAGTCACAAACGCGCAAACGTAGGAATATTGAAGTTTCTACGAGGCGCTCGAAGGCGAGTATTTTATAATATGCTACGATTATTATATCGTCTGTTTGGAGATCGAATCGGTATTTGTTAAGCGTTCAAACGCCCATTCAGGTTTCAGGTTTTATTGTGCGTAGATCAAAGGTAAATACATTAGAAATATTACAGAAGGAGGTCCCAGAGTCAGAGACTGGAAAGGGACCTCCTGTTAATGGTAGCAATAAAAAAAAAATTAAATGTGCCGGAGCACCATTGACTGTGTCGCCGTCGCTTACTTCAGTCGCTAAATAAATGACACGTTCAACGAATGAACGACAAGCTCACAGTTTTAGTTTGTCGCAGAAGCCCTCACTGCACTTCAAAGCAAAAGCTTACACCAGAAAGTACTCTCTACAAGCGCTTTGAAACGATGCGAATGTTTCCAGTAAAGGCCTTCCAACTTATCGTCTGCTAAGCTCCGACGACTTCGAGATCACGAACGACTCCGAGTTGACTCTCGGCAACCCTTGTCTCATTGAACCGCACCACAGTTTACGCCCAACAAAGTCGCGACCCTTAACCCCCACCACAAAACATTTATTAAAAAAAAAAATATTGGCAATCTAACGCTTTTAATATCAGCGTCCAGAACGTTAACTGTCATTTCCGGAAAACACGATAAAAGTTTCATCGTCGAGTACAACCTACTCACGCGTTTACCCCCTTTCTCCCACAGAGTCCCGTGCATTATCTGGTGTCAAGGGATGGTTGCCTGTGGTGCCGCTCGACCCCAGCAAGACGAGCCTCGATCCGCGATCTATCCTACTAAACTACCATAGATCAGCGCCTAGACATAGGCTAGGTGGCGCAAGCTACCGCCCCTTACAAAGGGTATAGCCATTAACATACGTACATACATCCAGCTCTGAAGGGTCGGAAAACAAGCCAGCGCCCGGTTGGCGACAGGGATCGAGCAATAGCGAAGATGGCTACTTTTTCTGCCGAGTCGCAAACGTAAAGCACGTGACAATTACGTTGTAAAGCCGGTAGATAACACGCCGTTCCGACCGGAGTTGAAGCTACGCGCACATACGTTGTCTTCTTTTTTTTTTTTTTTCCGGGTTTACAAAATGTTTTGGCACGCGTCTTTTGAAGATGGCGACAGTCTACCGACACTCTCATGACCGGGGAGTCGGGCAACCCGATTGATTGATTGACTGATTGATCGATCCACTGGTTCACTGAACTATACACCGAGTGACTTCTGAGAGGACCCACCTTTGAGTAAGGCCACCACGCCGGCGTAAAAGTCCTTGAAGGAAATGAGGCCCCGCTGAGATGGGTCCAGGCATTCCACCAGTTGCAACAGCGCCTGTGCATACGAGAAAACAAACGGACGTTCAATTCCCTCTCATTGGCATCTCGTTAAAACAGTGAATTTGAAAAATGCAACCAAACTCGAAGGAACGTGAATTAGCAGCTCGCTGGGAGCAACGTGCAACGAAGAAAGCGAGAGTATTATTATTCATACTGAGGCTTTACGCCAGAAAACTAGCCACGTGCGAATTCGGCATGGGTTTTCCAGGAAATATGATTAGTTATGTGAACACGGAGGTATTTTAGGAGACGACACACTAAGGAGGATATAATTTTTGATGAAGTAGGCACAACGAGCCTTTTTTTTTTTTTTCTGACGAGAGACTTTTGTGGATTTAAATTTCGAGATGTTAAAAATTCCATATTCCAGTCATCGCAGCATTGGGTAACATTGTCAATATCGGCCTGAATACATAACAGCCACAGTTTAATTTTGAAAATTTTACTGCAATGTAGTTATAAACATTCACAAAGATTCGCTTTCTCTTTTTTAAATGCCCCAGGCACGCGCGTTCACCATCCTCCTTGGAAAGTACTTTTCTCCCCATAAGCAAGTGTCGATCGCGGCGGTGGCGGGTTACTCCGTTGAGTACGCTTCTTACCGAGCACCGGTGCACTGCGGAGAAGTAACACCCGCGGAGTTTGCTCCCGCGGGCGTCGCTTCTCCGCAGTGCACCGGTGCTCGGCAAGAAGCGCACTCAACGGGGCTAACACGCCGCGATCGAAACTTCGAGAAATACGAATATCGCAGTTCATCTCCAAGCGAACATGGAGAAATGTATCATTCGAAACTACTAGTCAAAATTTCAAATATTCGCACAACACTACAAGAAAAAATAATAAAATGAAAAATAAGGACGAAAAGTGACGGGCAACACAGGAACGCAGGACAAGGTGCCTTGTCCTGTGTGGCCTCTCACATTTTGTCCGTAAGTTTTGGCGTAAAACCTCAGTAGGAACCAGAAGTTCAGAACCAATCAGCCCAACTTGCAGTCTGGATTCAGTGTATTATTATTATTATTATTATTATTATTATATAGCGCTGCGCGACTCACTGCGGTACCACAAACATTAAAACCTATAATTGATTAAAGTAGAAATTGGGAAGCAAATACTTTACACGATACTTCTAGGCTTTCCACAACATGTGTAAGAATTTTTCCACTTTCCCAAATTGCCCCCGGGATGTTAGCGAGCACATAAAACAAAACAATTCATTAATTAATAATTACCAGGGAACATCATTAGCCCACGGCGACTCATTAAAACCGGACACCGGAACGCTGGCGAGCCTCAGCAGGTGCGCCTTGGATACCTGGCGCCATCTGTCGTTACCCAAACACACTACCTTTCCCGTTTCCCTTTCTCCTTTTCCCTTTCCCGCTCGCTCGATCAATCTCCATACCCTCTCTCCCTCTCTTCCCCGCCCTTCACCGACCGAGCAGGCAAAAAGCCGAGGGGGCGGCGTGCCTGCGCATTGCCGCGGGCATGCGGTTTTTGCCGGAAGAAAGTGTCGTTATCCAGCCGTTTCCGGTTATTTCGAAGCTATTATAAAGGAATCGTTATATTAATGTGAATTTCCCTCGCACACATGTTTTTTTTTTTTTTTTTTTAGCTTTATTATTTATTTGTGCGACGCTTTCGGGCGAGATTGACGGTCGTATATCAGCGACACTTAAAAAAAAAAAAAAACACACCTCCTTTTCATTAAATTTATTATTTATTTATCGAAGGGGAAACGCGGCTCAATTTTTGCAGTTGAGATAACAATGCAGTTCTCTTAGGCTTAAGGATTAAAACAGCGCAAGGACACGGACAAGCGCAAGAAGGCAGACGAACGAGGCGCATGCGCAGCGCCTTGTTCGTCTATACCTTCTTGTCCGTGTCCTTGCGCTGTTTTAATTTTTAATCGTGAAATACCAACTAGCCCAAACTTCCACGTTATTCTCTTAGGCATCATCTGGGAATACCGCGAGTCTAATATTACGATGTAATTCCGTCGAAATATTGATCAAACTGGCCAACAGAGTAGGAAATGTGCCAAGGCAACGAAATGTCTTCGGTCTCCGTTTTGCATCGCGACTAAAGCAAAATTGTACAAAAAGATGAAATTAAAATAAAACAAATTATGTCGTTCATTGGCACTTGGAACTTGGGGATTCTACGCCGACCGCCGCTGCGTAGGTACAGCAGTGTTGCTTCTTTAGCGGGACTGTGGCATGGCTGATCCAGTCGTAAGCCTTATTTTACGTGGAAAAAATTTATTCGGCGTTCATCTTCAATATAAACAGAATGTTTCTTTTTTTTTTTTTTTTTAAGTCGTTTGTTTTATGGTTGTTTAATAAGAAGTCTTATGGCGGTCTGAGCAGGTGAGTTAAATCCTCACGATGAGTCAATGTATTGTTTTATATTTGTTAACCAATGTTTTTGTTTATGAATGTAAACGTATAATGTAATTTAGAAAGCGTCTTGTACTGAGCATCCTGTAAAAAAATAAGTTAATTTAAGAATTACTTTGAGAGCGTGGTAAGCGCAACGAGGTGCGCTAAAGTGACCACTCGCGCAATACTCGTAAGACTGTGGCTGCGAAATCGCGTCCGGCGCGGGTTTTCCCTCTTGTCATCCGCCTTTTCACGACGCCAGCTTGATTTGGTGGTTTTCGATGACGCTGAGCAAGTTTCTAATCGGAACGATGAGTTTAGTTTCGCTAATCGAAAATTTAATTCGCAAGTTTTAGATAATTATATGGCCGTACTAAGTGTAGACTTGACGGCTTTCTTTGAAACAATACTGATAAAAAAATAATCTGAATATTTACAAGCTAAAGGGAGATGTTACCCACCCTAAAGATGTAGCAGTGTTGTTTATATTGAGAAGAAAAGCCTGTATGCCAGGGGTGGCCAAACTGCGGCCCTTCGGTTCCCGTTAAACGTGGCCCCATTCCCCTTCTGAGCCCCAGCACGAAAGGGGTCCGAGAATGTAAAAATAAAGCTCACAGTCTTGGCAGCCTCGTGTTACACTACGTCAATACAGCTGGACTGCTTTTCGACTCATAGATGTGTCCAGTGCCCCTGTTTCCCTGATTGCTCTAGAAAGAACTTGGAACCGTTTACGCATAACGGGCGTCAAGGGCCGTGGCTGGCTAGCGAACCACGCGTTCATTTTTTGCTTAGCGGTTGAGGAAACGTTCAGCCTCCTGGTATTAGTTGTTGTAGTCGACAATTATACTCGTCCCCTTCAGAAAGGAGTGGTTCCCTTCATATCGTCTCTTATTAAAAATATCCCTCCCCCTTTTTTCTTTTTCTCTTTTCCTGCGGCTCTCTGAACTTTGGTAGTTTTGCCTCCGGTTCTAACCCCACGTCACTCTGGCACCCCTCCTCTATGCGATCCCTTAGACCTTGCGGCATAAAAACCAAGAGGGACTTACAGACAAAGCAACAGAACTGGAACTCGGAAAGGTGCTGTCTTTCTATTGTGCGACTCTGGTATTGATTAGGGGTGTCGCGAACCGGCCGCGGTTCGAGTTCGACCAGGTTCGACTTTTTCGAACTTTTAGTGGAAAGTTCGTCGAACCGTGTATTGAGGTTCGACTCGTGTGCGCATGCGCGACAGACTGGCCAGTTGGCTTCGGATTGGATGGTAATGGCTAAGAGATGAATTAAGTGCAGCGCTGATAGGCTATTTCAGTCAATAGAGTACTAAAATTTAAGTTATTAACTTTTTCAGTGAATAGAATTAGTTTCTTTCAATTGCAGCTGTTCACAAAATAAAATAACCCTTTGCATAAGAAAAGAAATTCTCCAAACCTAGACATGCTTGTATCAAGGTCTGGCCACACTGTCCACAAAGTCGAACCGGTCGAATCTGGTGAAAAGTCGAAGGTTCGTCGAACCGGTTCGACCCAGTCGAACCCCGGAAGTTCGACCAAAAAATCTGGTTCGACAAAAGTTCGCGACACCCCTAGTATTGATACCCATCTAGGGAGCCGCCATGTTCTTGACGACGAAAAGTTTAGGTCGATCGCCATCCGGTGGCATTATGTCCAATCCCTCCCATTAACCAGGATACCTTTGCTTGTATCCCTGAATACAGTTGGACGCAAGCACACGGGACAGTGGACTCGCGTCAATAAACGTGGGTGATCGATGATAGCACATACTTCACATTCATGCACAAGCAGAAATGGCGGTCAGTATAGATCCACGAAGCACTGCATTCTACATTACGAAAAACTGTACGTTACTTGTATTCCGCTACTCTTTTTTTTTTTTTTTTTTTTTTTTAAGGACTAAAGATTTGGGTACTATCTGAGAGGAGGACACGGTAACGTATTTCGTTACATTTTGTTGGAGTAAAGATTTTAGGTAATCGGTTAGGTACAGTGCACGGCACGGTTAGCACGAACACGACATCGGCGCTTTTGAGCGTTTTTATTACTCAGACTCGGAGTCGGCGGAGAGCATCAACCGTTGTTGCTTCACTTGGGATCCGGAACAAAGCACATTCCACCCCACAAGTCGGTTTCATTACAATCTTCCAACTTTCACAAAAAAAGCAAAAAAAAAAAGCGATTGTTTGTTTGTGCTAACTGTGCCGCGCAGTGAACCGAGTTACTTTTTGAGAGCACACCGGACGACGGTACTTAGTTATTTTTCTTTGTAACGTGCCCGTGTCTGGACGAACTTATACTATGGTGCCTGGATCGCGTCTTCGAGTGGTGTGTTTAGCGTCCTATCGCGCCCATACATCAAAAGTGGTCCCAATGTGGCAACAAATGAAGTCACAGAAGCCGGAGTGTCATGCTGTTGCTTGTCGCGATCCTGGCGGTTGGTCGTATAGAATGCTGGCGAAAACCACAGGCGAACGCGAGTGTCGCTGTCGTCACGGCGCCCCGTCCCAACTTCCGGCTGCTCTAGCTTCCGTGAACTGCCACAGTGAAGAGCGACCTGCAGCAGAACAGGCGTCTGCCACGTATACCACAACTATTGGGACGCC